AGCAGGCAAAGGGCACTGTGTGCTGTAAATGCTAGAAAAGGAAATTCTCTGCATAGTGGCAAGAGTGAAGTATTACTATGAAGACTAGAAATAGAAATCCCCATGCCCTCCCCATGTGAAGAACATGGATTATGCACAAAACCTTATTTCTTCCTTTGAGTTTACTTCCAGTAGTTGCATCAGGACCTTGCAATACTTGTAACATAGTGTTCACTTTGTATTACCTTTTTACTCATTCACCTATGACCTTCACCTCTCTGACCTACTGTCTGTTATTATTTATCTCTGTTAAGATGAACTGGTATCTCTGTGAAATAGAATATTTCATAAAGGGTTTATATATATATATATATATATATATATATATATATAAATTCTGGTTTTAATGTCATTTAAGGCTGCAGTTATGTCCATATAAAAGTCTGCTTAGGTGCAAGGTGTCACAGACTGTCTAAATAAATCTAAAGAAAAACTTCCAGTGCCAAAATATTTATGGTGGGAATTCTGTGTTTTAAATTTATTTAATGTAAGCCTCTTTGTAAAATTGGTATCTTTGACCTTATTATTATTATGTTCTGATATATACAGAATTTACAGTTGTAAAAATACTCCATCCTGCGTTATGATAAAAAGTATAGTTGCAGATGAGACAGATATATGTAAATACTAAAAAACACACAATAAAGAGAGACGAGATCCGAAGTGGATTTGGAATACTAACATCTGAGACACATAATTGCAAGAAGGAATTACATATGCAAAATTAGGAGTTTAAGATCTAACTTTATACTTCAGTTTGGGTTTAATTGCATCAATGAGCTTCTGAGCTCTATCATGTATAACTTTTAATGTTTTGTTCATTAATTTTTTCTATTTTTTTCATTACATAATATGTGTTACAGATCAGGTTTCCAAAGACTTGGAAACTTCTCACATAATACTCTCAATAGTTCCAAAATAGTTACACCAAATAGTTCCAAATCTGTTACACCGAAAAGAGGAAAAAGAAAAAGTGAGCTATCAAAAATGCTCTGTGTGTGTGCACACTGGACATATTTTACGTTAGAAAACTATAACTTTTGTCAAGAGGGGCTTGTTATCTTGAAATGAATTGCATGAACTCTATGTATTCATACAGTTCAACTCTACAGAAGATGAAAACACTAGATACTATAATCTAGGACTATATAATGCATCTACACAGTAATTACAGAATGCAAAAATGTGCCATTCATAGTATTATTGGTATAACAGTTGTGATTGAATTATTCAAAACTGCAATGTATATGGAGGGGAAAAAGTCTGTATGGAAAAGAAATACCTGGTAGTGACCATTTGTTTTGGAAATGAGCAGATATAAATCAAATGAACATTGAAAGACATGTTCTTATTGAAAATGAGGTTTATCAAATGATGATCAAAAAAAAAAAAAAAAGAGGAAATTGAAAGTTTTAGAGTCTACCAGCTGTCAGCAAAATAGTGTAATGAATTATTTTTGTAGTTCATGGGATTTTATATAAAACCATCACAAAGGTGGCAAGCACAACTAAAAATACACACTTCTATTTATGCTAAGCTGTACCCTTTGCCAAGGGATGAGAAAAATGTATGCTCTGGTGAACAGGAGGTCATCGCATCAAGGCTACTTTAAACGTTTGAGGAAGATCCCTGTTTCCTGGGTTTGTATCTGTTAGTAACTGAAATTACTACACTGTTCAAAAAATCATGTGTTGTTTAGGTCCCTCGACATTAATTTAAACTCATGATCTTCTGTGTATTAGAATAGTAAACTGAGATACTTCTGGCATTCTAATTTTAGTAGTCAGATTTCTGTTTGCAAGTAAATAACAGGATTCATATTCTTGCTTTTACGTTTTGGGCGCTGGATTGGTGTCATGATGCTTCCTTCTGTAATCTGTTGCAGATTCTTGTGGTAAATGGCAGCAAATGAAAGCCCTTCACTGCATATGTGTTTCTTCTGAATGCTGTTTATGGCACCACTGTTTATTAGGGGAAGGCTTAGAACTAGTTTTATTTTGTTTTGGTTTGTTTAAATAAACCTTAATTATGTGACAGGAGTAGGGAGAACATCTACATCAACTGTCTGTTGCATTAAATCATTGGAGCTGCACTTAAATCATAGGGTTGGAACTGAGTCACAGGAACATGTGTCTGTGCTTTTGGAAAAGATATTTCTATTTTTTTAATACTGTTGTCATGTGAAGCTTAATAGACCTAATTGGCCTTAGGGTTGAAGTCTGAAGCATTTCAACTTCAAACTTAGGAAGGGATAAGAATCTGAACTTTATCTTGTTGCTATTTATTTCACATCTATCAAATAGAGAAAAACATAAAGAGTTACAGTTACTCAATGTGAGCTGTATCTCATTCCTTACATGTAAATTCATTTATTTTGAAATGTCAAGAATAGGCAATCCACCCTCTAGCACAAACTATTTTATATGGTAAGGGCTTGTCAGCATTTTATTACAATTCCTTTCTTCAGGCTATAAAAATTTTGCTTCAAGCTGAAAGCTGAATGTGAAATATCAGCCTCATGATAAACTTGCTTTATCAAATTTGGCTGATTGGCTTCACTTTAAACAGTTCAGAGATTCAACCAAACAGCAATTTTTTGCTTTTGACCGTTCTGATGTGTGCATTAATCAAATTAACTTGTTTGTACATAATCAGCTGTTTCATGGTGCTCATGTGAAACTCTTGGTGTTTTTACTGTAAAAGGCTGCCATTTATGTGGACAAAACCAAACATTAGCATGTGGATGAGATTTCATTTCCATCACTTAATCTGAATATCTGCATATTAGTCTTCCTAATTGTGCCCACAGAGCTTCATCTAAAATTCTCTGAATTAAAGTAAATATGTGTCATGGTTTAACCCTGGTGGGCAGCTCTGCCCCACACAGATGCTTGCTCACACCTCTCAGGGAAGAAGAGAATCAAAAGGGCAAAAGTTAGAAAACTTGTGCATTGAGATAAAGACAGGTTAATAGGTAAAGCAAAAGCTGCATGCACGGGCAAAGCAAAGGCTGGGATTAATTAACCTCTCCCCATGGCAGGCAGGTGTCCAGCCATCCCCAGGAGAGCAGGGCTCCATCATGCTTGTGCCACTTGGGAAGACAAATACCCTCACTCCAATTGTCTCCCGTTCTTCCTTGTTATCCCACATCTTATTGCTGAGCATGATTATGTATGGTTTGGGATACCCCTTTGATCAGCTGGGGTCAGATGTCCCAGCCATGTCCCCTCCCAACTTGTGGTGGGGCAGAGCGAGAAGCAGAAAGGCCTTGATGCTGTGTGAGCACTCTTCAGCTAAAACATCCCTGTGTTATCAACACTGTTTTCATTTCAGATCCAAAATAGCCCCATATAAGCTATTGTGAAGAAAATAAACTCTATCCCAGCCAAAGTGTTAGTTTAAAAAAGTCTAAAAGCCCAGGAAGATCAATTCCCACTGCCTTGTATTACTGACAGAGATTTACTGTCGAACAGAGGTACCTAACCATATCGCCAGTAAAGTGAAATAAACCACAAAAGGATATTTCATTCTGTTCTGCAACAGGCTTCTAGCTCTAAGTCCCCAACGTTGACAGTGGTGGCAGACTAATATACAGACCAGCATTGCTGTCTGATAATACCAGGCAGCTCCTTATTTTAAACTTTCCACATGAAGAAAAAGTAAAATGATACTGAAATGTAGGATTTCAAATAAAATAGCTTTATCCACTATCATGAGGGTGCAAAGGACCTCATGTCTCTTCTTACTGCAGTCCTTTTTCAAGTAGTCAGTACAGAACTATAATGTTACAGCTTACATGTAGAGACACATTTTGTGCAGTCAGATCTAAATTATGTTAAAAATTCTTTGCATAAAATTTTGACTGCATATGTTTTCTGACCCTGATTTATCTCTTTCTTGTTTTTTTAATAGTACAAGCTAAAACAGGGTAGGAAGATCTCGAATGAGATTAGGTATAATCCTAGAATTTTCTCAGTATAGGTACACATGGGTGCAACTAAGGAAAAAGTGCTCCTTATTTCAGTCCATCTTCTTATATTCAACTTGTTCTTCATAAGACAGAAGAGGGAGGTTACATTAGCAATAAGGCTGAGGATTTTCCTGAACTCCAGAAAAGGAATTGGAACATAAGTGCAAATGGAGCAAAAGAGAATTGCTAACAGTTACAACTTTTTCTGTTTAGTTGGCATATTTCTCCTAGCTAGGGAAACGTGAAGGTGTGATTGTATAAATGCAGATTCATTCTGCCTGTCCTGTTCATTACTTGGTGTCAATATGCTGTACTTAATATATTAGATTACATTTATATCAGTTGGTTGCCTGGGCTGATTGATTTATCAAAAAGTTGGTCTTTCTGATTTTAATAAGCCTCTGTAAAGATTTAATCTTAATCATTTGGGGTAGCAATGCCTGACAGGTAACTTTTTTTTTTTTTTTTTTAAATAGCTTAAGACAAAATAAAAATCTCATTATATTTGGAAAAGTATGGGCAGGGCTAAGCCATGATTCAGGGGAATGTCCTTTTAAATTAGTACTTTGAGATGGATGTAAATAATGCGATCGGATGTCATAAATGGAAAAAAGAATGGGAGGAGAAAAGGTTCAAAACAGCTGCCTGGCAGAAATTTTTCACAGAAACAAAAAATGTGTGGCATGACCTACCAGACATGATTATGCTATGGAGAGTTAAATATTGGTCTATTCAGGGAAATTAGAAAGCATCCAGGGCCATGTGGAGCACACGAAGGTTTGATATGGGGGAAGCCAATAAAATATGCTTATTATCATATATTCTTGAATATACAGAGATATTAATGCTGGATTTACTGTTGGTTGTACATAGTTTAGATCATCACAACACACTGTCCATCAGTAGCCTCTCCTTAATGAATCACTGGGAGAACTCGTTTGGGTAATTTGTTTAATTTTTGCCTTCTGACTTTTTATCTGCTTAATTATAGGTTTCTTCTGAATTTGCTGCACAGAAGTTACCTGTCCGGGTGGTATTTAGCATGCTGTGGAATCATGATGATTGTGAAGTCCCTTGCTAGCAGTGGAGAATGAATGTTTACTGTGGCAGAAAGGTGTGTTTAGTTTCTACTACTTATGACTTTTTAGACACAGAGGAATTTCATGAGGAATATTAGTTTGTTTCTTCTCTATCAACTCTTTGATATTTCTTACAGAAGATTTGAAGTTGTTTTAAATCACTAGCAATTATCTTTGCTTAACTGAGACATGATTTAGAGATAGAGCTACAATCTGCATAAAGCAGTCCCACAAGTAGACTAAGAAAGCGGACATGATTCTTATGCGGATAACAGTAAACTGCAGTTTGTCTACATTAAATGTAGAGACTTTCAGGTTTATATTTTTTTTTCAGTTATAAATATGTCTTAGTAAAGAAAACTGTCTCTAGGCAATAATAGCTAACTTGCTGTTGTGCACTTAGGTTGTCTCCCATGTAAAAAATTGATCGTGAAACTGTACAATTCATCATAAGTGAATCTATCTTTGAGTAAATTAGCTTTGACTAAAAAAAGTAATCATGGTAGCAGAAAAATATTGTTCTTTTCTTCTGTAACTTACGTGTATATACAGTTTGAACATAAATCCTACAGTGATCAAAGTTGGAAAGATAATTTCTGACCAGGAGTTGAGAGATTATTTTCTCTAACATAGCATGATGTTTAGTCAATTTGTGATCTTTGGGGACGAAGCCAGGAGTTTTTTGTTGAGTCACTTTTTTAACAGAGTCAATAGCCTGACTAGGGTAACAGCTTTGTATTAATTATATTTCAGTGAGTGAAAACCTATTTGTCACTTTTATGTATTTGGTTCTAACTGATTTTCTTTTCCACTGTATGTGACAGATCTGACCTCACAATAACTTGGACACTTCATTTACATAATCAGAAGGCTGCAAACAATGTTTTTTCCAAATTATTTGGTTTGATATAACAATTATTGGACAATATTCTATGAAAACTATAAAAATTATGGTACAGAAAGTCCCTTGGAAGGCAGGTATGGCTGGATTGTCTACAAACCACTAAAAATAATTAAATCGTCTCTAACACCCTTAACACTGTTTTTATATAAATTATATAAAATATGCAGTGCATATGATGGTGTAGCTGTTATATTATTGACAGTTAGTTGTCCTGACAGACAGATGTGCTGTCATTTAAAATTCATACCAGTAAATCCTGTAAAATATTGCAAACATTAAAATGTTTGTTTGTTGTCCTACATAAATCATACATCTTGCATGCTGTTATGATATTTTAAATATTTACTGGTTTCCTTTTTTATTAATTTTAGAAATAAGAAATAAACCCAAAGTAAAATGTTAATGATAATGATTGCATGCGAGCAATTGAAGATGAAATAAACCCAAAATGTTCAGGTATTATCTTGAGAAAAGGGAGGGAGTAGTAATCTATTTGATTGCTATATTGTATGAAAATAATTGGTTCATTATCATAATTACATTCTTGTTCATGATATCAAGGTTGAAGAAAGTAATAGTAGCAGTAGAGGGATGTCATTTTACTGATTCTGTCAGATATTAATTGAGGAAATGAGTTGTGTGGTGCTGAAAAGAGACAGGGTCAAAATCAAACCCAGGGGATTTCATATTCTTTACCATCTGTGTTGGGAATTCCAAACTCAGCCATGGACTGGAAAAGGATAGAAGGTTGCATTACCTTCTTTTCCATTTCACTTCTTAAAAAATTATGTTTTCAAGATAATGTTACAGTGGAATATACATATTTTTAATTCTAACTTTAAAGTTTAGCTTTTTAACAGAGAAACATTATGTTTGTATTTTGAAATGCTGCATTATTTATTCTGGTTCTAACAATTTTTCCTTGATCATTAATGAAAGCCATTAATGGTTTCAGCAAATGAGTGTTGGCTTTTTCTCTCCCTTACCCCAGAAATCTTTAATAATAAGAGGAACCATTTACTTTGATCTGTTCAGTGGTAAAACATAAATAGTTTAAAAGATTTATGCCAGTAGAACATGGAGAGTATAAAATGAGCTTGGCATCGGTTCTAAACCCAACAGATGATTAACTGGGCAGTATTAATGGATGTTCAAATAGATTTTGATTAGTCATACTACCAGCTCAACTTACTATAAGAGAAGACTTTACCAGCTGAATAAACACGAGAATGTTTTGTTTGGTTTTTACACAAAACTGTTGTGGTAGTTAGAAAATATTTCTTCCAAAGTTCTCCAACAACTCATTTTGCTTTATCTAATTAAAATTTCTAAATGTTCTTGGATATAGATTTGAAATGACAGCATGGTAACAAAATCGAGCATTCGGTGTGTCTTAAATTGCAAAAGCAATGAATATTTTTTGAGCCTAATCGGCTGATCTGATTTAGCTACAACTTCGAAATATGTCATCTTGATGGACATATGGAGCTTGAAAACATCATCTGAACATTTGGCAAATATAAATGTGAGTTTAAAAAGATCTCAAAATGGAAACTCTTTTTGGTTAACAAGATAAAGTTCTGGATCATTCACTGGTACATCTGCCCTCAGCTGATCCCTTACAGTGGAGGGAGCACAATGAGAGAGGTCTGGGAGCACCCGGTTGCCTTGGGCGTTGTGTCCGCTCCCAGCTCTGACTGACACAGCAGCTGTTTGGTGGCTGGCTCTTAGACATTTTTGGCTCTTTGAACTAAGGCCATAACAGTGTGACTAAATGCTGTAGTCTTAGCTCGTAAAAGATGAAACAGTGTTTGCTGAAGGTGACCCTTTTTTTTGAAAATGAGTCAGACAAATTTTACAGTGACTGTAACACAGTTTTCCTATGTTATGAACGATTTTATTTTCCTGCAGAGCGCAATGTCTTAAATAGAGTGTGAACTGTATCAGATTTATGAAACTATTTGAATGTGGTTATGCCAAATATTTGGTCTTTGACACTGTGAGGTGGTTTTGATTTTTCTAATCGTGTGGCTGGGTGTTGGGGTGTAAATGAAAGGAAAAGCACTGTTTTCTCAGACCCCCTGAAGAAAGTTTAAAAAATACTGAAATAGCCGGACATTTCTGTTAGTACATATGTGTCAGTGTTTGACAAGAATTATATTACTTAAACAGATCTACATTTTGAACTGTCAAAAAGAAAGAGTTTGGGTTCTAGCTGGTAATTAACCCCTACCACCTCTTTCCCATCCTCGGCTCCTCTGGCAGGGTATGGGAGGACCTAATCTGTCTTTCATCCTCTCTGATTGCCTCTGTAATTGAATGTATGTGTCTATACCCGCTGCAGTGGCTGTGCACTTCCACTTCAGGAAGATGGCATTACTGAATCCTGTCTGTCACAGCCAGCATTAGAACTTCAAGTTTAGAGCGAAAATAGGATTTTACTTAATGTTTGTAGGGTTTCTGGGAAAGGACAAGAAAGTGTATCTTGGGGTTTTATTGTTGTATTGCTTTATTTTGCTATTGCCTTTTTTTAAAGAAAAAAAAATAATTCCAGTTTCTCTTATTTATTCCCTGTGAGCCTGTGGCAGTTGGTGTTGCCCTTGTGCAGATTTGAATGGCATGACTTTTGGCAATAGGCTGCATCAACTCTCACTGCAAATATCTCTTTGCTACCTCTCCAGCAGCTAACCCTGCTCTCTGCTTCTTAGTGAAGAAGAGTGTCTCGTGTCCACCCATTAATCAGTGTAACCTGTAACTGGCCTTCTCCCATCAGTCCTGTGTCTTCACCCTGATTACTTTTATTCCTGCTTTACCCCTGCCTGTCAGGCATCGTGGACCTGGGAGCCCTCCCAGCTTCTTATACATCACATTATTTTTCAGTAGCTGGAAGGAAGAATTATATGCTGATCCATGGACATCTCTACGAGATGCATTTAATGGATGGTAAGGCTGTCAAATATTTGGAAGTGATTTAGGAGGAATGTTTCTTGCCAGTTTGAATAAGTGTCAGAAATCTGGGATTTGCAGTAAGGTTCTCTACTTGCCTGAGCAGCAGCTGCCTGCCCACAAGAGCTTTGGAACCAGAAATTAAACTGTGGCATGGCTCTGCTTGTAAAAAAGTCAATGTTTGCCTGCTGTCTTGATGACAATTTTTAGCACTTCTTGTAAAATGTTCCCTAATTAAGCACTGGCATGTGCCTCTTCCTAGGAATTAAATGTTTAATATTTCAGAAAGAAAGGAGGAAATATTTCTCAGCCAACTGGGAGGAATTGGCAGCTGTGTTGAAACTCTTTGATATTGCTAAATCGGCTATTGAACTGAAATGGAAAGTCAGATTAACGCTTATAAAAGTCGCATGATAATTTTGTTTCCTTCTTATTGGTGTGACATGTATGTGATATGCAGCTCCATTGAATCTTTACTCTGTATTTTATGGGTATATATAGATCTGCTGTTTGAGCTGAGTCACATTTCCTTTCTTCTCACAATCCTTCACAAGCAATGCAATTAAACAACTCATGAAAAGTAGTACAGTAGTAAAATTTCTTTTAGAACAGTGTTTTAAACACTTAAAAGAGTGTATCTTAGGCCTATACCATGGTGACATAAAAAGCTCATGCAAAAAAACGTAAATATTATTAAAGGTTTAAAGCTACTGGAATATGTGTGCTAATTGTATGCTACTCTTACACCCCTTAAGAACTTTTTCCTTACATGCACACCTGCTTTGGGTAGGAGGGGAACTTTTAGGATGTTAAGCACTGTCAAATGTGAGTTTTTACCTGAATTTTGGCACCAGAACTTGTATAGGCTGTTAGTCCATGCTGTGATATATTTTTGGTGCTTCTAAACCAATGATTTTTCGGTTCTTTGATAGGTGCCTTATTGTTGTTCCAAAGTGAAAGAGATGGTTGGAAAAGATTTCAGCTGGAAAAATTTTCACTAAAAGGGGAAAAGTCTTAATGGGGATGGCAGAAAGCCTTGTATGGGGTCATTTCTGCCAGATATAACAAAGTATTACAGCGATACTTTAATGGATAATACATTTTTTTTTTTTTTTTTTTTTTTTTGTAACAGCTACTTCTGAAATCAAGAGATTGGGCAAAATTGAAACTGGTACTTCCTTCATT